TGCACTGTATTTTAGAACACAAATATTATTGTATCACTGCCCTACTTATAATCCTTCAAACCTGCCCATGGATCTGAAGCTACAAATCCAATTCCTTAGGGAGATCAGCCACTCAGACATAACCCCTTGTCTCCTTCTCCAGCACAATCTCTTACCAGTTCCTTCTGTCCACTCAGACTCAATGTCTACACCCTTCACCCTGGTCTTCTGGTCCCACTTGACTCAATCTTTCAGGGTCATAGGGGTCATAACTGATAAGAATGTGAGAAAAGTGTCATAAATAATGGAGGTGGAGAGCAGAGAGAAGAAAGCAGTGGTCCCTGGCGGAGCTACATTAGATGTTCAGCTTTCAGAAAAGATAAGAAATCGCATGAGTAAGACCATGGAGATAAGAAAATACTGAGCAGGCTGGACAACAAAAAGCAGATGGATCCATGCAGGGCAGAAGGTGTGGGAAGGACAAGTGAATGGGTTGTCCAGCAGAGAGGTGTATCTGCCTGCAGCTAGAGCAGGTGTGGGGCCCCAAAAGCCAAATGCAGGAATTCAGTCCTCACTTCGTAAACAATAGGAAAGCAAAGCTGGCTTTTAAACTGGGGAGGACAGTATCTGATCTGCCAGAGTGAAGAGCACGGGGGTTGTGGCAATGAGTGGTGATCTTAGAGCATGATAACGAGACCTGGACCGGGTGGCAGTCTGCGGCAAACTGGAAGGAGTCCTCGGTCTGGGGACCGATTGCAGGTGGAAAGAGACGGACTGGGAGTGTGGTGAGGTCACTGGCTGAGATGAGAATCACCAAAGCAGAGCAGGCTTAGGGGGAGCAAATGAGTAAGATCTGGAACATGCTGACTTCAGGGTGTAAGTCTAGGGAGTGCAGAGTTGAACCCTGACACAACCCTGGTGACAGAGGCCATCTGCTGGAGTCCAGCTCATCCTTCCTTGATCCCGTGTGTTTCCATGACTCCTGTTTTCCATGTTCCAACATGGAAAATTGTTTGCTTTGCACGCAAAGAGCAAGTTGTGAAAGCACAGAATGGACATAAAGTCTCTGAGTGGGAGAAGACCTGTTGTACCATGGCCAACATTTTCACCCAAAGAGTGTTTTCCCCCTCAGCTTGTGTCAGTCAGACAGTCAATCACTTCTGTTTCTCTTCCTTCAAGATTCTTCCCAGGTCCAAGGTGCTAGCATGAGCAGCCCAGTGGTTCCAGACAACTTGGCTTCCTCTCTGCCTGAGCTCCTGGGGCACTTTGAAGTCCACAAGAGGAACATTTTTCACATAGTTATGGGAATTCCTTCTCTGCTTTGAACCCTTCACAAGTGCACATGTTGTCTTCCTAGCTGAACCCTTCATTTTGCTGCTGTCACAGCCCCTGGTCCCAGGTTAAGTTATTTTTACAACTGATTAAAAAGTCCATTTGCCTGGGACAACTTTTATAGTTTATAACAATATTGGTGAAATATAATACAACCCTGGTCCTTCAGAGTTCATTGCACTCAGTAGTCAAATAAAGCACTCAATTGTTTGACTGGGGGCAAGTCTTTCACTTGTATTTATTTTGTAACATTCAATTGACACATAGTAATTGTACGTATTTCTGGGGTGCCATGTGATTGTTAGATACATACACACCTTGTGTAATGGTCCAATTAGGTAGAGTTCCATTTGCCCAGCCATGCTGATATTTGGGTAACATAAAAGAAGGAGAGTCTTGACTCAGCTCATGACCCTATTTCCCAGGCAAAAGAGGTGGAACCACACCAAGTGTATGTTGGCCAGATTGTGCACTTGTCATGATGGAGAAGGTGTCTGTGGGGAGGTGAGGAAAGGGGATTAGGAAACTGGTTTTGTGTTGCGAGTTGATGGACACCACGGGATCTGATCTCGGGATTCCAGAGTTCTGCAGCCACTGTGCCATCATTATTATTTAATGCAGATGCAAACCCCCACCCCAGAAGGATCAGGGCGGTGGGATATGGGGATCTAGAAGACAAATCTTTCCATAGATGACTCAACTGGGTCTAGGAAGAGTGGCTGGAACATGGGTGGGGTTCTCTCCGTGAAACGCACCCCTAGGGGTGGCAAAGACAAGAAAGGCACTGCTGCGCTTGCTTCAGAATTCTGCTACCACTGGATTCCTCTACCCGTTTTAAAACAGACTTTTCCCCTTGGAGGTTCCCAAGAGGCGCTGGGGTAAACAGCAGAAGAACTCCAGGGCGGCCCTGGTGGCACCACCGCCCATTGGCTCTGGGTCACATTCCTTTGCAGACTTCACAGGCTCGGGTTACAAAGGCCCTGTTGCACAATTCCTAAGAGAGTGGGCATGGGGGTGGGGCTGGGGTGAAGGGGCGTGTCCTATATGTGTCAGAGGTCCTGGGGTGATCAGATGCCTGGGCAAGCCAGGTGATGGCAGCAAGAGAGAGTCTAGTTTCTCAGGATGTGTGGAAAGAGCTTTCTTTTATTTCTTCTTCTTTTTTTTTTTTTCCGCTCCCAAGCCTCTTAAATGAGTCTTGTCAGGCGGCATCCCCTCCAGTAATTTGAAGGCAAACATATCAGAAGTTTGCTTGGCATACCTATGTGTTTCAGTTCACTGGACAAAGTGAAACTTCAAAACCACAGTGAAGAATCTGGAACTAAAGCTCTTTTTATTTCTCCATTTCCCACAATTAGCTTTCTCCGGCTGTAGTATGTGCAAAATCACTCAATATTACACAACTCTTGAAATTATTGTGGAAGCTGAAAGATGTGACCACAGCCCTGTTTAATGTTCCTTCTTGTTGGTAGTCATTTTATAATTCTCTTTTATTAAAGACAATCTGCATGGAAAACCAGAAATATACAGAAGATCTTTCCAGGAAATATACTTTTTAAGTTTAATGAACTAGAAAATTTTCATCAGACCTCTCTATGGTGAGTTATGGAGTTGTAACCATGAAAAATTAGGGCTACATGTATGGCAAGCAATTCTTTTCATTTCATTTTCCCTCAGAATTTGGATCTTTGGGCCAATATTAATATGTTTGCAATTGATTAAATTGGAAAAACCCTGAGGACTTGTGCTCAGGGAATGCACAGGCTCAAAATTTCAGATTCAGTGGCGATATGAATTTCCCGGATTTGTTCCCATTGTTATCTCAGCATTTTGGATGTTGCATGGGTCCCTTCGCTCAACCTGGACTAAAGCTTGTGTTGTTGAGAACTGCAGAAGGGGAGGAGAGCTGTGGCAGATGGTGTTATACACAAAGAGTACCTGCACTGACCAAAGTGACATCAAGGTGACAAAATGAGATTTCCTTATCTTGTAATATTCTAAATTAAAAGAGCCAATTCAAATATGAGTCAATAAATCCATTTAACGTGAATCAGGGGCAGACTATATTGGAGAGGTCACCAGGTTAGGGGTGAGAAGACTTAAGCTTTAGGCCCAGCACTAACTAGCTGGACACCCTTTGCCAAGATTCTTGACTTCTTTATTCTGTCTTCTGGAAATGAAGATGTTAGGATGAATGACCTCTTCATTCTCCAACTCTAAACTTCTAGCATGTGTGACTGACACAGTGATCAGAGGACATTACAGTCAGTAATGCAAATGTAGATGATCTAGGACGTTCTGTATTTTGTGGATATTATTTTAGGTTAAGCCTAAACTTAGTTTTCAATGACTTTAAAATAAATGAAATATAAAAATGACCAATGAGATTTTAATTCTAAGGGTCTTAAGAGATTGGATCACAATGCAATGGTGCAAATCATAGTGACTTTTCTAGGTGGAAGTTAAACATATATTATAAAGTTAATGTGCAAGTACATTCTGTTTTCATTTGGATCTCTGATGTTTGCACACTTTGGGTTATTACTTTTATAGAGTGTGAGAGTCTTGGCTTTACTGCTGTGATATATTTATTCATGTTGTGTGATGAAGGCCAAAGACCATTCAAAGTGTGTCCCCTCCTTGGCTTCTCCATGGCCATGTGGAGTCCCCTGTGGGTAACTGATCATCCTGTCAGAATATTGCGCTTCTGCCTCCCTCGTGGGAGCATGGCACTGAGCTGTGTGATCCCGCAGGCCAGTCTCTGTGTGCTGTGACTCTGGGGGTCTCTGTGTGCTCAGATCCAAGGGAGTCCACATGGGGATGAGTCAGGGCCTGGCACCCACCCTACACTCCACCCTGCTGGTAAACAGAGCAGCTATTTGCTGTCACCCGGAGCCTCTCAGGGCCCCAAGACTCCAGGAAGAAACAAATACTTGAGAAGCCAAAACCCCAAGGCAAGGTAAAGAAAACAGAACCGTCTGATCCCCAGAGATGATTTCTCTGGCGCGTTCCTCAGAGGGGGAGGAGCTGCAGCTGGCTGCAGCTGAGCTGTTTGGCTTCACTTCTCAACCTTAAGGCCCTTGTCTTTCATTCTTTAGAGGGGGCAGCCTTTTGCCTTTTAAACCTTGAAATTCCCCAACTAGACTTTAGAGGCAATCTTGATTGCTAACGCAGAATACATTTTTTCTCTCTCCTCTCTTTGTTACTTTTGTTTGTATTTTTTGTACAACCTTCTACTAAAATACTTCTCTCAGTTAGCTTATTTTTGTTTAGTTTACTCTTCTCTGTTATTCTGGGGAGGAACTATTAGAAAGAAAAACAGCCAGAGAGAAGGGTACCACTAGGCAACACATGTGGACGACTGTAGCAAGTAGTTTTGCACCTAATGCTTGAGGTCCCTGTGCCTTCTGCATTTTCCCAGTGGGTTGGGAAGAGGTGAGCAAGGGGCCAAGAGCCTTGGAAATGACCTTGCGGCCCAGCTCCCTGACCAGGAGGCTTCTGGAGGGTGTGCTCCAGATCTGCCTCTGCTGGCGCTGCCTTTGGCATTTCTTCTGCCCTTTTGAAACTTCACATCACCCTGATACAGCGGGGGCATTGTCTCTGCCCATACTGTTCCTCCTCACCCGTGGACCTGTCTTTCTTCTTTTTCAGACACCAGCGGGTTCTGTTCTGAGCCTCACAAGTCCACCTACCTGAACCAGAGACATGGCTGGTGACCCTCTGAGCTCCTCCGGAAGTGCTCCACCTCTCCTGTCAGTTACTGACCCTCCTGTTACTCGTCCTGCTCAAGAGTCAAATCAGGCCTGGGCTGGACACTGTGATGTCACAGAGTGGAACCCTTGCTCCTTCCCACAGTTCAGCTGAGGCTCCCCACGACCCCGACCTGGGAAGCATGTCCCCTGGGTTGCCATTTACCCTGCCACTCAAAACCTTGATGGGGTTCACAAGCAAGAGTACCTGGGCAGATCATAAAGGAACCTGCAGAACTGTGAGGTCTTCCTGTGGGGAGAGACCTTGGAGATCACCGAGTGACTCAGTTCTCATCTAACTCCCTTACTTTACAGATGGGGACACTGAGGCCCTCCTTCCCCCCCACGGTGAGGGGGCAGAGCCGATGCCAGAGCCCAGAGGCCCTCAGTGTCTGCCCTTGCTTCTGCCCACACTTCATTTGCACACTGCTCTGTCCGGATTTTTGTCAACAGCAAGGCAACTCATGAGACAATGTTTACCTCGATCCACTCACAAGGGACCCTTTGGGTTATGAGCACTACAGTCTCCATTGAAGATCATTAATTTTTCTGCCAGGAAGAGCTGGCTCTGGTCCTAGTGCGGTCTCAGGAACCCTGAGCCATCAGACTGATTCTAGATTAACCAGTAATGTGACTTCTGAGTAACCACCGTTTTCCCTGAGATTTGATGATAAGCAACAAAGCTCGAATATGAGCCCAGAATTCATGTTGACTTCAACAGCCTATCATGCTCTAGTGTTTACAGAGGAGGGGACAGGAAGGAATAATCTGTAGACAAGGAAGTTCTCATTAGAATTGAGCTCTTTTAAATTACGGGACATGTACTCTATAGAGTACTATACAGCAGTCAAAAACAACGAAACCCAGTCATTTGCAACAAGATGGAGGAATTTGGAAAACATCATGCTGAGTGAATTAAGCCAGTCCCAAAGGGACAAATATCATATGTTCTCCCTGATCGGTGACAACTAACAGAGCACCAAAAAGGAAACCTGTTGAAGTGAAATGGACACTATGAGAAACAGTGACTTGATCAGCTCTTGTCCTCACGGTTGATGTACAATGTAATACTTTATCCATTTTAGTATTTTTTTTGTTGTTCTAGTACCATTGGTTGAACTCTGTAATTAACACACAATTATTCTTAGGTGTTTAAATTTTAACTGAAAAGTGATCCCTGTTAGGAATTTGGAAAACATTATGTTGAGTGAAATAAGCCAATCCCAAAGGGACAAATACCACTTGTTCTCCTTGATAGGTGACAACTAACTGAGCACCAAAAAGGAAACCTGTTAAAGTGAAATGAACACTATGAGAAACGGTGACTTGATCAGCCCTCACCCTGACTGTTGATGAGCAGCTTAATATGTTATCCCTCTTAGTATTTTTTTTTGTTTGTTCTACTACTTAATACTTTTGGTTGAATACTGTAATCAATACACAATTCTTCTTAAGTGCTTAAACTTAACTGAAAAGTGATCGCTGTAAAATATAAGAGTAGGAATAAGAGAGGGAAGAGATGTGCAATTCGGGACATGCTCAAGCTGACTTACCTCAAACGGTAGAGTTAGAAACATACCAGGGGATTCGAATTCAAACCCATCGAGGTGGCATGTACCAATGCCATCTCACTAGTCCAAGTGATCAATTTCTGTTCACAATTGATCATAATGATAGGACTAAGAACCAAAGGGATCACATAAACAAGAATAGTGTCTGCAAATACTAGCTGATAGAATCAAAAAGGGAGAGAATGATCCAACATGGGAAGTGAGATACACAGCAGACCCATAGAATGGCAAATGTCCTAACAGCACTCTGGCCTCATAATCAGCCCTTAAGGCATGCAGATCCAGCTGAAATGCCCATGAGAGTATTTCAGGCATGGAAAGCCAAGACACTCTGGGGGGAAAAAAAAAAAAACCTAAATGAAAGATCTCCACGAGTGAGATCCCAGTGGAAAGAATGGGTCATCAAAGAAGGAGGTACCTTTCTTTGAAGGGAGGAGAGAACTTCCACTTTGACCATGGCCTTGTCTAAAAATTATCAGAGTCAGTGAACTCAGGGGGCTTCCATAGCCTTGGAAGCTCATGACAAGAGCCTAGGTGGATTACTGATGCCATAAACAGGAGTGTCAATTTGTTAAGTCAACAACAGGAGTCACTGTGCACTTACTCCTCATGTAGGATCTTTGTCCTTAGTGTGCTGTACATTGAGATTTAATGCTATAACTAGTACTCAAACAGTATTTTTCACTTTATGTTTCTGTGTGGGAGCAAACTGTTGAAATCTTTACTTAATGTATGCTAAACTGATCTTCTGTATATAAAGAGAATTGAAAATGAATCTTGATGTGAATGGAAGGGGAGAGGGAGTGGGAAAGGGGAGGGTTGCGGGTGGGAGGGACGGTATGGGGGGGAAGCCATTGTAATCCATAAGTCGTACTTTGGAAATTTATATTCATTAAATAAAAGTTAAAAAAAAAAAGAATTGAGCTCTTTTCTCTTTCGTCGCCTTCACTTTTTCTAGACCTTATCCCTTATGGTACCGAAAAAATTATCCACGTTGCACGAGGTGCCCTGTATCTGTGAAATCAGAGTGGAACTTTCAGAATCTCTTAGGTGAGGGACATTCAATACCAGTGATGAACATGTTCTATACTGCTTCATTTATAAGCTGTTTTCACATATATCATTTCATTTCATCTTCACATCTTGATGATGGAGCAAAAAGTACATTACTTTTAAGCACAGTTTTATAGATGAGAAAATTATGGTTTAGAGAAGTTGCAACTTGCACAAGATCTCAAAACTAATGAAGTGGAAAGGTTAGCATGAAGTCCACACCGGATCTTCCAAGGCAGCATTTTCTCCACCACAAGGCTTCCCCAGAGTAGAAGGAATTGTTGTTTGGTCCCAGAACACATTTGAAGGCAGCTGTGTGAAGCAATCCTTTGAGTAATGAAGAAAAATTATTCTCATGGGCCATAAATACTGTTTTAATTACCTCCTAAATGTCTTCATAAAAATTTAAAGAAATGATTAATGAACACTAATTCCCAACTCCGAAATAATCTACTTGTCACTCTTCTACTTAACAATTCCACCTCTGTGAATTATCCTAAGGGAACTGTTATGGACAAGAACAATATTTAGCTACAAGAGGTTCTTCATAAACTGACATATGGATGAATGGATGCATTTGAACGGTAGAGCAAGAGAGAGAAGAAGAGACAGACAGAGATCTTCCATCTGCTTGTTCACTCCCCAAATGCCCACAATAGCCATAACTAGGCCAGGGTCAAATCCAGGAGCCTGGAACTCTGTCCAGGTCTTCCACGTCAGTGGCAGGAGCCCAAGTACTTGGACCATTATCCAGTGCCTTCTCAGGCACATTAGCAGGAAGCTGGATTGGAAGCAGAGCAGCCAAGACTTGAACTGGCACTCTAATATGGGATGGTCGTGTCATGAGTGGTGGCTTAACCTGCTGTGACACAACACTAGCCCCACAAGAGGTGCTTTAAAGCATTATTTATAATAGAACACAAATTAGCAGCTCAACATTAGAAAAGTGGTAAAATAGATCATTGTGATCTCGTAAAAATAACATGATAGGCCAAAGTTTTCCAGACTTTGATCATTCATATATCATCTTTGAAATATTACCTCCTGTACTAGTATTGACTTAACATTTTCCTTTAAATTAACTCAAACATTTATTGAAGTAAGAGCATTAAAGGTATTTTTGTCATTATATAAGTGAAATTTATTACTAACTACCTTAAGTAATTAATAAAAATAACAAAAACTAATATTTTTAAAAATTTTTATTTTTCATTTTTTCCATAATTACAAATTTAAGAAAATGGTAATTATTCCCACTGTACCCACCTTCCCACCTACTTTCCCACCCCTCTTCCTCATCCCTCTCCTATTCCCATTCTTATTTTTTACTAAGATCTATTTTCACTTAACTTCAAATCCATTTGATTACCTATGTTAAGGGATCACAAATAGTATGAAAATATAAAACTTTCTCAACAATCAAGACAAGGGCTATTCAAAGTCATTGCTTCTCAAAGTGTCAATTTCACATCTATAATAATAATAATGTAATAATAATAAAGCTTAATAATAAAGTTATCATAGGTCAGAGAAAACATAGGGTATTTGTCCTTTTTGGAACTGACTTATTTCACTAAGTATGATGTTTTCTAGTTTCATCCATTTCATTTCAAATGACCAGATCTCATTTTTTTAACCGTTGTGTAATATTTCATGGTGTACTTATCCCATAATTTCTTTATTTAGTCCTCATTTGATGGGCATTTGGGTTGATTCCATATCTTGGATATTGTGAATTGAGCTACAATGAACATGAGGGTACAGATAACTCTTTCATATGCTGATTTCATTTCCCTTGGGTAAATTCCCAGGAATGGGATAGCTGGGTTATATGGTAGGTCTATGTTTGGATTTCTGAGTTATCTCCATACTGTCTTCCATAGTGGCTTTATCAATTTACATTCCTACCAACAGTGGATTAGGATACCTTTTTCCCTACATCCTTGCCAGCACTTGTTGTTTTCTTTTTTTTCTTTTTTTAATTTGACAGGTAGAGTTAGTGAGAGAGAGAGAGAGAGAGAGAGAGAGAGAGAGAGAAAGGCCTTCCTTTTGTTGGTTCACTTCCCAAATGGCTGCCATGGCCGGTGCGCTACGCCGATCTGAAGCCAGGAGCCAGGTGCTTATTCCTGTTCCCCCATGTGGGTGCAGGGGCCCAAGCACTTGGGCCATCCTCCACTGACTTCCCGGGCCACAGCAGAGAGCTGGACTGGAAGAGGGGTAGTCGGGAGTAGAACCCAGCATCCATATGGGATGCTGGTGCCGCAGGTGTTGGATTAACCAAGTGAGCCATGGCGCTGACCCCTTGATTTCTGTACGAAATTCATTCTAACAGGAGTGAGGTGAAACCTCATTGTGGTTTTGATTTGCATTTCCCTGATTGTTTGTGATCCTGAACATTTTTTCATGTGCCTGTTGGCCATTTGGATTTCTTCTTTTGAAAAATGCCTGTTTAAATCCTTTGCCCATTTCTTAACTTGGTTGTTTGTTTTGTTGTTGTGGAGTTTCTTGATC